AATGCCTTTAAAGGAGGTTGATGGGATTCCATTTCTGAAATAACCTAGCTGAGAGTTAAGTCTTTAACAGGATGCTGGATGCATCTCAAATGAATGTATTAACTTCAGGATTACAAACCCCATATGCCATTATATCTCTAGACTAATTTATTTTAAAACATGAACTAGGCATCAGACTACCAAAACTCTGACACTCCCAAGTCAAGAGTGACTTCATCTCTCTGCAAATGTGGACATCCACCTGACAAGAACAATAACTGTTTATTTTGCAAATGGAATGGCTATTATGAAAAAAATCTACCCCATAATGCTTGGAATATGTTTCAGAGTTCCTAAATTCAAGGCCAAATTTTAAGGCTGGCTCATGAGCAGATTCTGTAACATATAAAAAGAAAACACAAAAGCCCAAACATTCCTGAAGGAAAAAGTTGCATGACAACGTCCACTGCTCTGGGTCCTTGGACATGACTGCTCCATGTGAGCGGCTGGAGGAGTATTTTCGGTTTCAGGCTTGTTCCAGAGGACCCAATTTCATCGCAGTTCTGCTGTATGTCATCACCTCATCCTGCCACAAAGCAAAAATGCTCCAAGGTAGGGAGCCCCTACAGCGTTCATACCAATGGCTGTGTCTCCTCTGTACTTGGGTGCCCAGGGGACTCCTGAGAAGGAGAAAACCGCCATAGATCATGGAGTTCATATGAAGACGTGACCCTCCGCTACTCCTGATCAATTAATTGTCACTTCTCTCAAAATCAGCAATCAGGATGCTTTCTTCCAAAGCAGGAACATCAGAATTAATCTGTGGCAAGTAAGTGTTTCTGATCCACAGTATCCGGCTGAAGAGTCGGTTGTTCTGTTTGTACAGGCACCACAGGAAAAGGGAAATGGCAGCCAGCATCACCAACGTCATGAGAACAGCCACAGCCACAAGCCCATGGTATGATGCTGAAAGGGAAGGGCAGAAATTGGTATTAAGCAAATACAGCTAAAATTATACATAATTCTAAACAAAAACACATAGATGTTTTATGGAAAATCTAGTATTACTCCTTATATGTCACACATTTTAAATTACAGGTTTAACAGTGAAAAATGTTACTTCACAAAATACTGGCTCAGAATCTGTTACTACTACTTATAAAAAAAATAGAAGAAACTTACATTTTTCAGAGAATTCTGTTGCATCAATGTCTGAAATAGAATTCAGAATGGTCATAAAATTACCTACAGAGCTAACAGAAGTTACTATATATACTCACAGTAAGACTGATACTGAGAAGACAATCTAACTAAAACCATACAAGAGCAGGCTGTTGTTTAACTTTACTCTTGTCAATGGGGTTCCAACTGGCCAAGTTAAATGTGACATAACTTGTTATCTAAAATACCTTATATTTGGCAGAATATATTAACCATTTGGGCATGAACGAGCAGCAGTATTTATGCACTTTTTACAGTACAAATGCATGAGCAGAACTCTGCAGCAGTAGATTAATCCAGCTATTGTCTCCAATAAGAAAAAACTAAGAGCAAGTAAGCAAGGAACAAAGAACATGTAAAACAATGGTTATCAAGACATAACTTCCTTCTTTTATGGAAGCACATACCTGCATCCATTTTACATACAAATCCCTTTTTTTCTCTGCATGGAGATAATTGCCAGACTCCATCTGCGATCCTCAGGCTGATACAGAAATTCCCTTTGAGATGATCAAATTCAGGTTCCCTGATGCCCCAGTTAGAATAATTTAAAGGAGAACCATCAAACCACGAGACAGTCTCATCTAAGGGCAGAAAAATTTATAAATCATTATAAAATACCACAGTATTTTTAGTATAAATATCTCTCTTTCAGTTGGACTTACCCTCACATTAAAAAAATACTGTATTAGGGAATGCCAGTATTTTGGCTGTTTGGCCAATATATTATTTTTTATTTTTCTTGAAGGATTTAAAAACATCCTATGTTGTTGACACAGAAGTCAGTCTGTAGGGCTTCTTTGAGAAGAAAATAATGTCATTCACATGCATGCATACATACTGAGTATTCAGATTTATAATAGGTAATCACCACACAAAGCTTGACTGGTTTTACTACATCATAAACAGGTAATAAGCAGAAAAAAAAATAAATCTCAAAAGATAACAGTATTTCGGAAGATGATTAGACTAGCATTAAAATAACCAAAAAACAAAACAGTCTCACATTCAGTCCTCTTCCACCCAAAACTTACTGTCCGTAACGAGCAGGATGTTCAACCAAACCATCTGCACAGAATAACCAAAATTGTGCAATTCTTCCAAAATGAAGGCATTTTCATCTTCATCTTGAATAGTTAGAAGATTTGATCCTGCATATTAAATACAGAACAACTTTTCAAACGTTTTCCACACCATTAAAATTTAACATCGTGTTTCAAAAAGTTAGTATTACAAGCCTTAATTAAAAAGCTGGAGAAGTCTGGTTACACACGTTCTCAAGCTTGCAAGCTACGTGAAAATGCTCAAGCTGATATAAAACTGTTCTCACATGATTTTAAAACAGGTTTGTAGGGGAAAATATTAAGTTATTCCAGAAGTCAGTATTTTTACATGGAAAGAAATATTTTTTAGACAGATGTTGCCTTCGATTTCATAGTTGTCTTGTGAGCTCCAGTATCATTATCTTGAACTAGAGAAAACACATGCCATGATTTCAGTCATTTCAGAAAATATGGAGTTTTTTTGAGATATCATGATGACATTTTGTAGCTACAACATAATCACTTACCTTGACTTTTACAGACTTCATATGCAGTATCAAAATTTGTGCCCTGCAGAACTGTGGAAAAGCTGTAGCAACTGTTTTTGAATTTGATCCAGGGAACAGTCTTCTCTGAACATAAGCCTTTATAGGCAGTGGGTTTCTTTTCTGTGATAAAAATAACTGCACAGCTTTATTGGCACAACAACATACACATTAATATAACATTCCATGCGCTGTTTTGGAGTAATGCTAATAAGCATTATGCCTCTATTTTTCAAAGTGAAAACCTAGTGGTTGTACATATTTGTATTAGAAGAGTAAAGCTGATTTCATTTCTGATCAAAAATCTTACTGGATTGCAACAGCAATATCAGGATAATCTAAATGGTACTGATGTGCAGAGGGAGTTCTGAGCAAACCGTGGGCACTTCAGAGCACTCTGGGCTGCTCAGCATCTCCCAGAGGGCTGGGGATTTCCAAGGATTGCAGAGTTTCTCTCCACTAAACCACAAAGAATGTCATGCCAAGTACCATGGCACAGAGGAGAGCTTCCCACTAGTAAGCAGCAGCCAGCCTCTCTGGTGTGCAATGTGCTGTAGCAAAGAGTCCCTCTGACTCAGGACAGCAATACAAGCCCACTCTGCGATACCCAGAACCACTTTTATGCAGAGCTGTAGATTCAGCTCCAGTATTTGTGGTCTCACATGAATCTTACTTTGCTACAAAACACAATTTTAAAAAATTAAGTAAACCTTGGGCTGTATATGATTACATAACTTGAAAAACAGAATAGAAAACCTGTCGACTTCACTACAAAAACCACACTAGAGAATAATTTTTGTCTTGAAGGACTCCAAAAAAGCTTTCTGCTCAACAGGTCCAAAAGCTATAACAAGCTGTAGGTGAACCCATGGTGATCAACACTACCCAACAGGAACTATTTTGAGAACTGGATGCTGCCAAAGACTCTTGGCTGAATTCTGAATTCAAGTGAAGCCCAGTTAATTGACAGAGTATTGCAGGAAGAACAACATAGTTTTGGATACTTAAAAAAAAGAGTTGCAAGATCTTCTATGTGCAATCAGTGAAGATGTGATTCTAATTTTTCACTTTGCTCTAAATGCTTCCCTTCTCCCATCCCACAGTTAATTGCAGCAAACTGAATTTATTTCCCTTCGAGATAGGTTATTAACAGTCATCACTCTTCACAGATAATACAGTGTTCACTGAAGAGACAGAGTAAGTAATTTTCCTGTTTCTTTTTTATTATGAAAGTTCTCTTTCCATTCTCCTGTGGACCAGACCTGACGGCAAATATTTCATAGGGAAAAAATAGTTCCGCAAATAGGACTTACAGCAAAGAAATGACAGAATTCTGCTTCCGTTTTGAGTAATACCATCATCATTGTTTAACCTTAAATTAATTAACTTCATTTCATATACTTCCACTGTCTATATGCACATTTGTACTGGCAAAGATTTAATACAAAACCTCACTCTCACTTACTAGGTGGCACATGGCAAACTGCTCCTTGCAGAAGTCGTTCGCAGTTAGCGCTTTTCCAGTGCCCCGAAGTGTCCATGTAAACACAGCTGCCAAAGGCCTGGGACTCGTCATCTTCCCAGAAGGTAAACAGAGACCTAGACCCATCTGACCATTCAAAGTGAAGCCCGTTCTGCCAAAACAAATTTCAGATTATTTTTCCGTTATGCTTTAGCACCATCCAAGTTCATCTTTTCCTGATGGCATCCTCGCCAGGTATTTCAGTATGTCTTTCACACCTCTAAGGCTGGGTAGATCCAGAAGGAAACTGCATCTAACCCACTTTTTTCATCAAGTGATTATTTGGGCCATTGACCAACTACAAATGAAACCACCTAATTTCCATGTTGACACCACAAGAGATTTTTGGTGCGTTTTTAAGTATTTTCTATGGCTTTTAGGTTCAGTAATCATTGCACCATACTGGCTTTCATTAGGTTTATACATTACATTGCAAAAAACCAGTTAGGGCTCAAGCTTTCCAGGGTTTCCTTTTCAGATGTAAACTTCCTGCGACTCCAAATGAATTACACAATTCATTAGCTTGTAAGTGGAGAAACTGCTTTGCAGCATCACGTTGATGGCCAGGGAGTCCACTACATACATCTGGAGTGAAGAGGCCGATCCAGTGGTCGTAGCCCAGCCGATTCACGACGACCGTCAGGAACGCCTGCTGATACTGGTCTGTGACGCTGACCAGCTCCGCACCACTGGCCGTGCAGGCTTTCAAAGCTGAAGACCATGTAAAATTCCCACGTATTAGTTTATACATTCTGTTTCCATACTCTAGTGTATCTGGCACAGGGCGCATTTCAGAGGCATTGCTGACATGTCTGGATTTGTCTGTTACAAACAGAAAGAAAGGATTTTTTTTTTTTTTAACAGCTTGAACATAGCAGAACAGCTCCTAAAAAATCACAACTATCCTTAAAAACAAATCTACGAAGTGTAAATTCCTTCGCCTCAGGAAGGCAGTGTGAACTTTAAAAATCAAAATAGGACTACTATAACAATATCTGAAATTCTGTCACAGCACGAAACTCAGCAGAGGAGTGAATGACTTTTAATGTTTAACAAAAGAAAAGAAAACCTGGTTGGAGTTAGTTCCACTGACTGGGTCTTTTTAGGTCAGTAAGAAATCGTCTGGGATCTGGGCATATGTGAGCTGCAGAGTGCTCTTATCCCAGATACTTGGCGTGTAATTTAGATTTCCTCTTTTTTTGACTCATTATTTTTTAACAACTTCCAAGGTCAGTTTACAGCACAAAGCCTGGCCTCACAGATAATTGTACTGGCACAACTGAGAGGATGACAAACTGTGGCTCATGGTCCAAGTGCATGCTTGGGAGCTTCTCAAGCTTATTTTTGCTACCCATGAGCAAATGTAGGGAAGATCAGAGTACTGGGACTTAAAGAGAAATCCTCTGTGTGCAGAGACTTAAATCTCATTTTGATGATAAACTAACATAGCAATGTCCCAAAAAATGAGAGGAAAAAGCAGATTTTTTTAGATTTAAGAAATAAAGAGAGTCTCCCATTATAAAACAAAACAAAAAACTGGAGAGAGAGATCATCTCAGACCTCAGCCTAGTCTGTGATTCTGCTGCGCTCATTTTTCTACAGGAGGCAAATGCCTTTGCTAATTTGTATGAATGTCCACAGTATACTACAAATAAGATTATAAGAATAAAACAATGCCCCAGTTTTAATCCTTTTTGTCAGGCTGAATTAATTACTTCTGTCTGAAAAACTTCTCTGTGATTACGAAATGAAGTGGCTGCATTGCTACAAGGTGGAGTGGTTTTCAGCTTAGTTCCCTTTGTGACTAAGAGACAAGGAGTGTTAACAAGCTTCTTAAAATACTAAATCAATTTATTATTTGTCACTCACAAAGAGTTTAAAATTAGAAATTTCTGAGCAAGAAAAAGTTCTGCTCTTGAGAAGCACTCTATTTTGTTCCAGCTTTCAGTGTGTGCCAATACTTAAAGACAGGAAATGCAGTAAAATGCTGACACAGTCCTAACTCAAATATCACGAAGAGATCAGAGCCCTGCCCAGATCTCCTGCTGGTTTATTTCATTTCAGTCTCCTACAGAACATAATTCAAAAAAAGGGGAGATAGGCTACAGACAGGATGGCAGAAGTAAAGCACCAGCTCATCTTTCCAGCAACTGACAGATTTGTTTGGACATTTGAGCAAAGTTAGCAGTTCGCTACTACCAGCAAGAGGCTGTCTCAAGTCTCCCTTCCTTGCTTCTCAGCTCTTCCAGCTGCATAATCACATACACAGGTCTGGTGTTTGCCTGACCCTGCCCTGAGCCAAAACAGCCTGGAAAAGCTGCACAAAACTAAACTGATTAGGGGAAAAAATATAAATAAAGGGGGCGGGGGCGGGGAAGAGAAATGTTTTCTGCTGAATAGGAATCTGAACTGATAGTTTGGGAGAGTGCCATGGGTGTCACACTTGGGAGGCAGGACTGGCCCCATCACCCCAGAAGCACCCTGCTGCACATGGGGCGGGTGGGCAGCATTGGGCCCTGGGCACAGTGTGGCCACCATGGCCCTGTGATGTTTAGCTGGGGCCCATGGGCCAATCTCACATCACCTGGATAGGAAACATGGGTAGGGTCCTGAGCACCCACTGCACCCCAGTACCCCTAGGTGCCCTACGGCGTGCCCTCCTCCCTTCTTAACACCTTTTCCATCTGTCTGAGGCAGCAGCGAGGGGTTATAATACCTCTCAGTCAGGAGGTAAACAAAACAAACCAGCAGGAAAATGCATTCAGTTCTTTTTTTCTACACTATGTGCAGGATTACGCCAGCACTCACCACAACTGTAGTTCATAATAAATTATGTCAAATATAGCTATGGTTTGCTAGAGCCACATGTGAGCACTGCCCAAAGCTCCTATTTGTCTATTCTGCTTCTCCCTCTCCCTTGCTTCCCAGGCAGACAGCAGGAAAGTATGGTCTCTTTAGTCCCAGGGCTTAACTGGGAGGTGATATATAAAGTTGAGCCCTATAAAACCACCCCCACAGTAAGCACAGCACCCAAGGACACTCCTCACAGGCTCCAGTTACAGCCCTTCCTTTGCTCCAGGGTTAATAATTTGCTGCTGGCCTATTTTGGGAACGTGCTCTGGCAGCTTCCCTCTGGCTGAGCTGCAGCAGAAGCCAGCTGAGCGCCCGGGGGATGCCAGCGGCTCCGATCCGAGGGGTAACACGGGGATGGGACTTGAGGAACCCAAACAATGCACGCTCCCCACAACAGGTTTGCACTTCTGGCACGGGCACTTCATGGTAACAGAATCAGAGGAGCGTGAAAAGAAAAGCCAAACTCTGCCTGATCAGCCGGTCAGTACGCACTATTCACAGAGGTACATGTCCCAGCCTACTCTCTTCTGATATTGCCAGTCCCACTCACCCTCCCACAAAAACACATAAAAATAATTTTAAAAAATATTTTCATCAAAATTACCCTCAGTTTTGACTTTTGTAATGTCATGCAGTTATTCTGCTGCCATGACAGAAAACATGAAACTTCATCTCTGTTCCTAAGATATGCAACAGAAAGCTGAGTTAGGAAGAAAACTGAGAACGTAGTTCTAGAAATTCCATTTACATCAGAGCTATCGATTTTTAAATAGTGTAGAGCTAGTATGTCTAAATATTGAAGTTAAAAACTATCCTAGAAATCTTTCATGTTCCTGTTTTTTTAACAAGCACCTTCTAGATGAAACTAAAGTAAGATGAAACCAATAGAGTAAGAAAAGATAACAGAAGCAAAGCAACCAAAAATCTTACCCTGAGTCTTTTGGCAAACAAATCCATAATTTTTCTGACAGTTTTCTAAGTACCATTTTCCCGTAAAATAAAAATTAGGGTTATTTGATACCAATGTACACAGTGGAAGTTGTTCTTGAATATCTGCTCTGTTATAATGCTGACTCTGCAAAGAACCCAGAACTTTACATTAGTTTAAAATCACTTTGTGTAAAAACAATGCATAATTATTACGTAAAATTTGGAAGAATAATTACCTGAAAGTCACTATTATAAATATTTAGGTAGAACAATGAACACTCCCATAAACACAATTTGAAATAATAACCTCATAATAAAATAGTCACAAGCATTCACTGAACAAATTAACTGCAAAGTACAATATGGACTAATGTGGTGTAAAACGATGTATTAAAATAAGAAACTCATAATCTTTTTCCTCAGCTTTGCTCAGACCCAGCATATGATACTAACTGTATAATTCAAACTCTGATACTTAAAAGCATTGTAAGAGAATGTGACTACAGCCACAAATTACTTCAATAACTGTCTCAATAGTGCCTTTTTTGCTACTTCTAGTTATGCCCATGAATCTACACCCACAGTAGTAGTTTGAAGTTGCAAAAATTATGAGAGACCAAGTTGCTGTAACAAATTGGGCCTTGTCTTTATGGCAGTCATGACTATTATGGATAAAACAACTTCACACTGTCCTTAAATCCCCTGGAAATACTCACATGCAATACTTCAACTGGAGACCAGTTGGAATACATTGAAGGCTTTTCATTAATCCATTTTTCATAATCATCACTCTGTAAACCTATCCAAACACTAGTCTTCCATCCAAATAGATTCATTGTTATGAAAGCTGGAAAGTGAAACAGGAATAAAATATAGTTACCTGGTAGCTACTTAGGGATAGATGAAGTCTTTTCCAACACACTAAAGCACTGAAAAATTTAATTACTGATAAATAACATAAGTTACTAGGAAGTAAGAACATGAGCACCATTTCAGGGTCATCTAACTACAAATTCACTTAAACTGATTAAATTTCAGTTGGATTAGGATCTAGTCCATTAACGAATAAGTCTTCCAGAAATGTTCGCAGCAGCTTGAATAGCATAAGTATTAGTTCAGGGCACTCTTGAAAAAGCTTTGCTCAGAAAGTGACTGTGCTCTAGGTCCTTCACCAGCTTAGTTGCCCTTTTCTGAACCAGTACTTCCAGTACCTCTATGTCTTGTATTCAGATGCCTAAAATTGAACAGAGTACTTGAGGTGTGACCTCACCAATGCTGAGTACAAGGGGACGATCATTTCCCTAGTTCTGCTGGCTACTAATATAAAATAAAAAAGATATTGCTTTTATTACAGTGTGATTTCATCAGGTAGAAATTTAACATAGCAAATTTTTTAATGGGTATTCCATTATATTTTTGTATTTCTAATGCATGGTGGTAAGCACACAAAATATTGTAATTACTTCTCAAAACATACCCATACTGCTCAGTGAATATTAGAATCTTTGCATTCTGGGAAACTGAGAAAGAGAAACACTAAAAGCAGTGTAACCATGAGTAGGATCTGAATAATCTTTTTTTCTAAATCTGCATCCAAGATGAAACTTCATCCTAGTAAAGATGAAATTTTATTTACTTAACAATCTTTTCAGTACTCTACCTTGCTCTAGTTCATCTTCAAGGGAAGCAAGTGACCCCTCATAGCTATTGCAGATCTCTTGTGCAGAGTACCAGTCTTTCAGATGCTCTGGATCCTTTGGAATTTGTATTAAAAAGCACTGTTTTAAAAAAAAAAGAAAGTGCTTATTTTGTTAAAGAAAATATTTCTCATTCACTAAGAGTGATCGCTGAAACATTTCACATGCTGTTACTGAATATGAAATAGTTTCTATCCTGCAATGGACCTCTCCAACATGCGTGGTATCAGCTTTCAGCTGCGATCAGGCTTGGATTCAAATCCATTGTTTAAAGGAAAACACAATCTGGGTTACATTTATCCTTGTAGTCACTGCAGTTCAGTGCTGGGATAAATCCAGCCACATCAATGCATGTTGCTATTAAGGAACATATGCATTCAAGAGGAGCCTGATGAAATAATTGTCTTTCAACCTTCAATTGGAAATAGACTTGGATGAACCCTATTTGAAACAGCATCTTTTGGAGGACTGCAGCAGCTACAGATCCATTTAGTACAATAAGGGGTCAGAGATCTGGCGTGAGACTCTTAGAATTGTCGTAAGTGGAAAAGAGAGGATGGAGCAGGCTTTTTACAGCAAATGCACTAATACACTTAGATAACTTTTGCATACATGAGTATTCACTTCCTTGAACTAAAGTAAAATTTTTGACACCTTTAGACAACTTCTGTGCTCAAAGCTACTTAAAAGCTGTAAAACTTTGTACCACTATATCAGTAGTTACAAACCTAAGGGCTTTTCCAAATGGAAGAAAATCTTCTGATATTGAATAATCTTTAAGAATTCCAATTTCTGTCATAAATATGGAAAGCATTTTGAATAATCAAAAAGCAGAAAAAAATGTTTTACTTTGGATCCAAAGTGCAACCAGCCTTTTGGACATACTCCTTGTTGGTTCTCGTCTTTTGGAATCTCTTTCTCTATTTTCCACGCCAAATTACGTTTACAAATACAGGGAAGAGAGACTGTACAGTTTTCATCACCCCAAAGTCCTGTGTAAAATGAAAAAACACAGTTCAATACTGGCTTGAAAATTGGAAAGGGTTATTTTCTTAGCTAGCTTAGATATTGTTAAGAAGGGTACCTCTTAGTGTTTGAGTAATGATGAGATTCTACATCAAATACATTTGGACAGTCCATAGGGTTCATAAATTTATTCACAGTTTGATTTAATTAAGTTAAACCAATTCCTCTACACTGAGATATATAACATATGCCTGCATCATCATGTATTTTAAAAAATATTAGTTAAGCATAAAAAAGGAAATGTATAGAAATGATGCCTTCCAGATAAAATAGTTTGACTTCCTTACATTGAAAATTTTTGGCAAGATCCAATTACTGACATAAAACACTGACCTGCTTAGGAAGAAAATACATTTTTCAGTGCACTCAACATGTTGACCAGTTCCCATCTGCTGGCCAGCTGAGGGGGGAGGGTGGGTGTCTCTTCCTTTTATTCCATACTAACTATAGTAACACCAAACTCAAGCATTCGAAAGTCATGAATCAAAACCACTAGATTATTTGTGGAAAAAAGAAGCTTTTAATATTTTCAGATTTGGCTTTTGAGGCTGAGATTACAAGACTGAAGCTGGATTATTTTCTTTCTCTTCCCAAATACAAAGCTGGATATTTTTTCTTTCCATGGAACCTGAGATGTTTACTTTATCATATGACTTGCGGATCTTCAGAAAATAGAGACTGTGAGATGACAGAAATCACTGGAACCAGCAGCCCTATAAATTATTTTTTTTATTACTGTAGTAAAATATAGAGCTATGTGATGATGTAAAGGCTAGCACTAAAAACACAGTACCCAAAAATCCCTCAGCAAATTGGCTTTGGGATCATAAATAAGATAGAAACCTGAATATTTAAAGTTGTGTGCTGATAGAAAAAGAGTTTATAAATGTAGGAAAAATTGTGCTCAGTCCATCTAGCTCATTTGGTTATGAGAAAAATAACTGTGAAAACCAGCAATGCATTAACATTTTTCCTGTGCCACTTAACAGATTCTCAAGTAAAACTAAAGTATCGGTATTGCCGGGATATTTGTATTTTGACATTAGAGAACTGGAACTGTTAATATACTTTTAAATCCCTACAACTTAGTTGCAGAGCATACTAATGATTTTTCACTATTCTTTTCTTAACCATAAAAGTTGTTATGCAAATTATAACCATGTAACAAGACTTTGATATGGACTGCATTTCTTGAGAGCAATTAAAAGAAATATAACTCCTTTGGCCAACAATGGAATCAAGCCACAAGTCCTGCAGCAGAAAGAAACATAAAATAAACCTGTTTGTGATGAAATGAAGCCACATCTTCTTCCTGGTTTCTGTGGATCTCTTTCCCATCCTTCATTCCAGTTCTGGTATGTTACTGGTGATTCATCTCTCCAGCTGCACAAAAATGTTAAGAGTGTGGTTACACCTTTTGCTATCCTTACCTAAAAATACACCTTTCATTTAAAGTGTCTGTAAGGAGATACAAGGTAGAAAGTGCTCCTTTATTAATTGTGCACTGAAAAACAACAGACAACCAACAAGGCTGATACTAACATCTTTGGCTTTTATCTTTTATAACCCTTTTAGAAGAAATACTGTAACATGGAGATACTTGATTATCTTGAAGGTCTCTTCCAACTGAAATGATTCTATGATAAATGAAGGTTAATATATTATGAATGTTATTTACATGAGAATCAAAGTTGTCTCCTGAACATGCCACTCAGTCATCAAACTATTTTAGGCTCCCAGGGTGAACAGAAGCTCCTAAACAAGGTGTGCCAAGTACAACTCAGAGCAGCTGAAGTGTAGGTATTCTTACCGAAATTCAGCACTGAGGTTTTCTGCATGCAATCCAATCCACCAGTGAACGTCACTACTCGAGAGCTATAAAAAAAAAGTTTTGCCATATGGTTAGCTACAAAGCATTAACAAACTCCTGAAGTCAGGCTCTGTATTCAGACAAATAGCATCTCCACTGGGTTCCACTGGGAAGAACAGGTGTTAAATCCTGCCCATGTTAATTTATGCCACTTCAGTAAGGTGATTCACGTAAGCTGAGCATGATTTAGCCTCTAGTTTCTACTAGATTGCTAATGTATCTTCTGTTAACTAGGAATTTACAGTTTTAGGAATTTACAGCCTATCTGGCTTGAAAAGGACTATGGTCTTATGAAAGAGTTTGGTTTTCCTCAAGTTCTAAAACAAAACAGTGAATATTTCCTTTTAGCATTAATATACTACTTGTCCTTCATGTTTCCAAAATGTTTTCTACAAACATTTACTGACTTTGCATAGTCATACAAGAGATTCCTATAGACGCTTTCCAGACTGATTGTTGTTCTCATGAAAGGGTCTGGACCTCCACTCCTAAAAGGCACAGTATTAAGGAAAAGTCACAGAAATAATGTGATTCAACCAGCCATTTATTATTGCTGTGCTGACTTGATTCTACCTTAAACTATGAATGGGCTTCACTTCAGGTTTAGCTACTCAGTAGTCACAGTTTTGGAGTCTTTGGAAAAAGAATCAATGACAACAACAATTTCTGAATGTGCAAGACACTGGAAAAGTCATCCCGTCTCTGAGAGGCATTTATTTTTTTCTAGAAACAATTGAAGCGCAACATGTGTTGTGGCAGCCCCACTGTCCTTGGATTTCACCCACTTACAGCTTATAAACCAATATCAAATGAAAAAAAAAATAGACATTTCAGACAAATCAGAAACTCAGGAATGCTGTCTGATTTGGTATTACCTGGCACATGAGTTCAGATTTCTAATCACAGCACTCAGCCTACACATCACCATTTTTAAAGAAAAAGTGAAAAACTGATCTCAAATTCCATGCTAAATAATTTTGACCAAGTTTTCTAATGACATACGCAAAGTCTGTTTGGACTGCTGTTTATTATTTTAGTGATTAACACCCTTAGTCCTGCTTCCTCAGGAGATCTTGTACAATCATTTAGGGACACACTTGGCTGTACTGGGAAAACTTAACCAAAGGAGCAGGCTTTAAAACAGCTGCATATCTCACATTGCAAGACAAAACTTCAAGGAAGTTAACCTGATTTCCAAGTTCAAGGTTGTCCACCACATGTGAAATAAACCTTTCTCTTTACCCCTAATTACTTTCATAACGTTGGGATAGGAAGCTGGTTTTGCTCCTCTTGGGTCTTTTGAGGCAGAGTACTCATTAGCAGAGATGATTCTGCAGATTCTGTAACGTTACTGACTTCTTTAGCTAAATAGGAGGGATGTGAGACATTAGTACAGGAAGAGAATTATTTCCAAAGTAAAATGTCTTTTAGATTCTACCTCGAGCAACAGGCAGCTAGATATTCTAGATATCAGTACAGGTTAGGAGATGCTCTGCTAGAGAGCAGCTCTGTGAAGAGGGACCTTGGAGTCCTGGTGGACAACAAGTTGTCCGTGGGACAGCAGTGTGCCCTTGTGGCCAGGAGGGCCAATGGTATCCTGGGTTGCATTAAGAAAAGTGTATGCAGCAGAACAAGGGAGGTCCTGCTCCCCCTATACTCTGCCCTGGTGAGACCTCACCTGGAGCATTGTGTCCAGTTCTGGGCTCCCCATTTCAAGAGGGACAGAGATCTACTCGAGAGAGTCCATCGAATGGCTACGAGGATGACTGGGGGACTGGAACACCTGCCATATGAGGAGAGACTTGGGGATTTTTAGTCTGGAAAGAGAAGACTTAGGGGGGATCTAATTAATGTGTATAAATATATCAGGGCAACCTCTTCTCACTTATGACCTGTGATAGGAGAAGGGGCAATGGTCACAAGCCACCCCAGCATGAGGAAGAACTTCTTTAGTGTAAGAGTTCCAGAGCACTGGAACAGGCTCCCCAGGGAGGTTGTAGAGTCTCCTTCCTTGGAGGCTTTTAAGAGCCATCTGGATGCGTTCCTGTGTGACCTGCCCTAGAATAGATGGTCCTGCTCTGGCAAGAGGGTTGCACTCGATGATCTCTGGAGGTCCCTTCCAACCCCTAACATTCTGTGATTCTGTGATTCCAAAAGATGAAGCAGAAAATAGCCCGTTACCACCTGAGGGTTTATTTTTTCAAAGGGGTAGTTTTTGTTACCTTCTTAATTTTGTTTTGAATAAAGGCTTGTTCACCAGAAGAATTTATTGTTGCCATTCCACTGCGAAGCCAGCCACAGACAAACTCGTACATTTCCCAGTCCGTAGGACTGACATGGAAAAGATATTCTGCTCCTTGGTAATATGACCAAGGCAGTTCTAGAAAACAAGCAAAAGAGTCAGTGGTGTGCAGGAGTAAAAATTCAAAAATTCAAGTCCCATTCTTCATTACCCCCACTGCCCAACTTCAACCGCATGTCAGGGGAAAAATATGCCACAACTATTTTATTCTACAGACAACTATATATTCTGCACGACAGTGCAGAACTGTATTTAACATACCAATTTCTGAGGAAAAAAAATGCACTATGAACTATGAGTAAATTTTAATTCTATCCTGTAGTAATGCTGTAGTATTGAGACTTGCCCAGCCTTTGCAAAAGAGCAGTTTTAATGTGATGGAGAGATTATCAAACTCCTGTGCTCATTACTGGCAACGTTTCTTTACCTAACTGAAGTAGTATCTGATGTTTCAGGGTTGCTAAGCAAAAGAGTGGCATATTTTGATCTGTAGCAACAAGTTCCTACAGAATTACTTAATGAAAAATTTTAATGCAAAACATTTTAGTTATTTTATTTTTACTAACGGCTTAAATTTTATTTCCAAGTTAGAATGTCTCAAGACGTGAAAAAAAAAGTTTTCATACCAGCTATGTACCAATCTGGATTCTTTGGTTTAACACCTGCAAAAATACATAAATAAATTAAAATATTGCTGATAAAGAATGAAAAGAGAGTTTTCACTGAAATTGCTTTCTCCATGTGGTAAGGATTTAATAAAAATCATGAAGACTATTGCTATTTCTGTTCAGGGACAAAAAGAGGAGTTAAACATAGAATAAAATAAAATAATTGCCACACTTGCTAAACAGCAATTTTAGTGACCTTTCTAAATAACAACTCTGATTAACTCCTGCTAACTAACTGCTAATCATTGCTATCTATTTTTAAACTGACTGCACATATTAGACCTGTTAACTGGCCACCAACCCTAACGGCCTATAGCTTTGCCATGGTTTCCTGCAGAAGGTCAACGAGAACTCCAGATGTGGCTAAAAAGCAGGCTTTTATGTATTTTTTTTTCCCCATGTCTCTCCTGAAGAGCAAGCAATGGGTATAACAGACAGTGTATGTTAATTAACATTTCACCTTTTGGTATTTTGCAGATCCATTCGCGCTTTTCATTGCAGTGTGCTGGGAAGACCGTTCTATTTACTTTGAATGCACCACAGTTTCTTGAGTCATCTTCAACATACTTGCTCTCCAAAAATGAAGATACAACCTGAAAACAGCACGTTCATTATCTTTCTCCATCAATCTAATATGAAGCATTTCAAAATCTCATTAAAGAGAAAAGGAAGGCTTTGGAGATGTGTGTATATTAAGAACAACATGAGCAGCAACTGGAGGACCACCTAAATGATGGTGGTAAAATCCAAAAAAACAGGGTCCATAATAATGTTCTCCCAATGTCCTGTTCAATTTCTCCTCTTATATCAGACTCCTTCTTTGTAAAAATAATTTTATAGCTATGAAACCTAACATTTTTTTACATGATTAGCAGCAATGGCCCACATCTAACAGATTTTGCTTGTTTCAACATGTTGCATGATTGATCTTTCCTCTTGCATTCTGAAATGGCTTACGTAACAGCATCAGAGCTGTCATGTTCTTTAAGCCTGAAAACCAATTTCAGCTTAAAAACTGACTCGGTCAGTTGTCCAATGTTTAAATCCCAAGTACTAACCATTAGTGTGGCACGTGGCACCCATGTCTTTAAGGATGCAAAATCAAAAATGGAATTAAAAAATGAAAGACTTATTCCGAATGCAGGTATGGACCTAGCAGTCATAGAACAAAGCGTGTAAGCACAGCTTCTGTAAGGCTTTCCAAGGTGTGTGCATATGTATATATGTACCTATATACACACGCACACACATATGTGTTCACTCTGCATATGCCTGGTCCTGGGCTAAACAGAATGTGCCTTACAGCAAAGTACACATCTGCAAAACTTTATGATCCAGCCAAATTCCTTTTGCAGCCACATAGCCCTTTTGCACAAGCTGCTGCTTTAATGGCAGTGTACTATTAATCCTATTGAAATTAAACAATTACTTTAAGTGAATGATGGAGACATGAAAACCAAACAGTTTTCCTGGCCAATGGTTGCTTAAAAGGCTTATTTTTGTGAACTTCTGCTCAGATATGAGTTGAAAGGTCACTGAAACATATAGTATACAGATAGTTACAGGTGTTCTGTCAGACCACTGCCATGTCCCTCCAGAAAGTGCATTTCTTTTATTAAATCCAATCCAGAACTGTCTTTCTTCAGTCCTATGACGGAAACAGAGAAAATAACATTTCTCATGCACTTTTTCCTTAGCTATTTAAGAAATTATTTTTTAAATACTGCAAATACACATATTAATTTCTTCATTAATTAGATATGTCATTCTATAATACATTTCTTAACTTTTTAGTGTCTTTCAAGAAAACTCTGGTTTTCCTACTAAAATGTTAAATTATGTTTTTAAAAATGTGAAAACATTCAAAACAGCATTAAAATTTCTGAACTTCCATTTCAACGGAGAATGTTAATCCACAAGAATATCACCTTAACAGTTCCTTGACATACATACACAACAAAGATCATCTTCAAAAAGATTTATATTACAGCGTTCTTAATACATGTCTTCTCACCCATTTCCAAGTTCATGTCAGAGACTTCTTCAGCCTCTAGCAAAGAGGATGGAAGAATCTAAATTGTATTTTTGCATGTTAGTATGATTAAGATAGATCTTGTGGGTGTTAGAAAATATATTTACCTATCAAAAATTGTATATAATAAATTGTTTAAAAATGTCTCTTCATAGATATGGCTGAAACTAGCAAGATGTGCTCCAAAATCTTGGCATAATGCTTCAGCTTCAGCCCATGTTCTTCTCATCAGAACTTTTTCATTGTGAAATATCTGCAATAAAATAAACTGTCATAAATGTAGCTGATATTGGAGAGCAGTTGTTACAGAAACCCATAAAAGTCAAGTATTATTCACAGTTTTTAATAAAGTAAAGTTATGTATATTCCAAGTATAGTTCTGATTCTTAAGACTTTTACTCACTTTAAAATGCAGTCAAGGATAGTAACTACTTTTTGTTTGTTGAGTGAAAGAAATAATGCTTTATCAAAAATATTTTAGGAACAGTGTATCCCTAAACTGATGTAAAATCAGAAAAATTCAAAGCAAGTTTGTCATGTACCTTGTAACAGCTGAGCAGATTAGCTTCTGACTCCCATCCAAAATAGCATGAACTCAAATGTTTTTGAAAAGTAAGTTCTGGTTCTTCATAAGAATTAATTGTTTGCTTGCACAAAGACATTGCTTTGAAGTTCTTACAGCTTTTCACCTCCCAATACCCAACAGGGTGCTGCCCTCGCAGAGCCACACAGCCTCCAGAACGACCTAGACATGGGAATAAGTGCTGAGTATCAGAACACAGCACTTGAATTTTGTGAATTTTTGGTCAAGTGACTGTTTCGTTCATATCAGGTTCTGATATGAACTTAGAAAAATAGCAAATCCTCTGGTGAGCGACCAGCTTATAAGCATGTCTTGGCTGATTTGAGCTTGTAAAATGAACCCTGACAGTGGGATCCTCTCACAAAATGCAGCAGATCAAATGCAATTTAAAACAGTACTTTTGCAAACTGCAGCAGCAAAGCAATAAAAGTAGAGTCCAAAACTGAGAAGCAGTTAGTGAAACGGAGTGTCTTTATTATTATGTCTCTATTCTCAGCTATTGTTAAGACATTTATGTTTCAAAGGTTGAACAACTTTTATTTTTTGTTTTCTTGTTTGCTTTCTTGGATTACTATAAAACAAACAAGATGAAACAAAGCAAAACAAGTATCAACAAACTAAAGGGGAAGAAGAAGCTTCCACACAGTGCTCTTATTGACAGAAATGTATCTGAGATGATCCATGCCCTCTTTTTGTCATATAAAATGCAAATTACTAATTGTGGCTGTTACTGATTAAAATACATGACTTCCCTTGTACCTTTTGCTGGGAGTCTCAGGAAGCCCTGATGGCCTCCTTGAAAAAGCCAGAAAGAAATGTATGATAAAGATCTCTCAGAAAAAGAAAAATGTCAGTGATTAGCTGTGTCTGCACGGAGAGTGTGGCTGTTCATTTTCCCTCATCAGACCAGGGGGTGGGAAGAGCGACGTTCAGCTCCCTGCCACAGCTGAGGAGCCCACAATAACAGCACTTGGGTGGGAAGCAGGAAAGGAAGCTCTGGGTTCTTCACAACCGCCGACGCGTCTAATTCAATCCATTCTAGGAAGTTACAGTCAACAGAAAATGCAAGATTCTCTCTCTGCTCCCTCTGCCGGGCAGGGAGGAAAGGACATCACTGCTAAGCTACTGGTGGCAGGGAGGAGAGAGCTCACTGCCCCCCTCCAAGCCATTTCCGTTTTTATCAGCACACTACTCACGTGGCTGGTACTTGTTCCAGTTTGTGTAGCTCACGGAGTGATTCTTTCCTGCTGTACTTAGCCAAAAGTATTCTCCTGTGTCATTAAGGTCTTGCAGTCCTATCCAAAAATAAGTTTTCTCAGATTTTACCATGCTACGGATCATGCTGTTGATGAAAGCTTGTTCAAACCTTAATAGAATAATCAAGACAAAAAGTTTATTAGAATAAGACAAATCAATTGGCATTTTAGTCAATAGTTCTCGTGAAATTATTTACATTATGTGAGAAAAGAAAAAATACATAAGAGGTGTTTAATTTTCTTTATAGAATGCTGTGGGGAACTTCAAGCACAAGTCTGTAGCATAAACCACAGTTTTCCCTATTTTTTTTTTTCAGCATTTGGGCACATAGAAGAAACAGCAGATTAAGATCTTACAAGCTCAATGCTCTAACTACAAGATGTGAAGACAGAATATATTAATGATGCACAAATAAAAATAAGACACTTCTTGTATGAAGGAGAAAAGGTAGTGGGGTCTGAAAAAGCTACAGAAGACAGAAAAGTAAAAGCTCCGTACAGAAGTATCCAACTGGAACCAGACATACAAACCAATGCTCAGAAACAAGAGTGAAGGACTCAAAGCACTAGCTGATCTGACCACAGAAGGAATCGCTTTTTCCTTCTTTGCTTTATTCATTAAATTTATGTGAGATATTTACACCTTTTTTGAAAGCAATAATTGTTGCATATAACGCACTTGTCACGTAGATGTAATTTATTCAGATATAATTGGTATAGCATGATACAAAAATGTTTTTTTTATCAGCTTCCTATGAAAATCTATACAGCAAAGTAAATTCTGAGTTTGATAAAGACTTATACAACTTCTTGGTTTCACACATTGTGAAAAGAACAGCTACGTACCATAAAGATGACATTAATATAAAAAACTGAATGTATCTGTAACACTGAGAGTCATCGAGACCTTTTGTCTAATTTTCATTTCGTCTGCGTACTCTCTTTTTACATCAGCTCTCTGATACATCTGATCTGATATATCACCTCGACAACCTGGTTTTTAATGAATATTTTTGGATCAATACATTGAAAGGTTTTTGCATTTTTTACACCAGAACAAGAAACCACAGCAGTAATTACAAAAAAAAAACCAAAAAACCAAAACCAAACAGCGAAACCAACAACTAGCTTCCTTCACCACTCCAACATTAGAGCTGGGAACTAACATCATAAACAGTGGTGGCTACACCCAGCAAAAAATCAAGTAAAAAGAAATAAGCAGAAAAAGACAGAAGACATGCTTCCAGTGATGTGCAGCATGCCCTCAGCTCCCTGTGATGTTACAGCTGCAAATGCTCAGCTAGGAGAGTGTAAGAATTCTTGTCACACTGCAGTATAGCACAGTATGCTTTTTGCACAATCCTGAAACCATTGGCGGGCCAAATTCCCCTCAGTGTAAATCCTTACGTGGAGTAGTCTGTTTTCCTAAAATACCTAGCTATGGTCCATCTGATTGTTGGTTGTTCCAGTACTTCCCCTGTTCTAAAGTGAGTGGAGATTTCCACCTTACTGGTTTTTATTAACAATGAATATGTGCCGGTTAAAGTATGCATGTAATATATCTATCAGTATGTCATAAACATTAATGAGAATCCAACATATAGTGTAAATCACAGAGATCAGAGAAAACCCAACCATCTGGACATCTGCAGAGGAGAAAGTCTTTTCTGAAGCTGGAATACAGGTAAAGAGGAACAAAGCAAGGGAAGACAGATCTCATATGCTTTCAAACATTGACTCTCTCCTCCTGTTTTCTGAGAACTCATATAAAATGCATACATAAATAGAAACATTTATAAAACATTAATTGATTCGGATTAAAATTCTATATATTTTTATTATAAAAAATAAGTATTTTTTTCATTTTCCAGTATAGTTTCCAAGTACACTAATAAAGTTTCTTAAAGATGTTACGTATCTCTGCAGAATGCATTTTGTTTAAATTCCTGCATGCTCACGTGTGCACGTTGCTCTATTAGCCTAGCAATTTCTTTTTACTAAATTTATTTTCAATTAAAAAATACAGCAAAGCACACCTTTGATTTTAGCCAATGTTAGTGATTATGCTCGCTTCTCACGCAAATAGTATTTCATAATGGTAGTATCTTTTGCCATGCAACACTTTCTGAAGTTAGAATAGCTCTGGTTAGAGGTATCTTCACACTGTCTAATAGGATTAACTACCTGTTTGTTACTGATACAAGTGCAGGTGGGCAGAAATAACCACTGGAAGCATGTTCAAAACTTCGAGGGGTACTGTCGATTTTGTAACAATATCCACCATGTCTTTCCCATCCCTTAAAAGAAATGAACATTATTTTATAGGTTATTAATTATTATATAGTTGTTAATAACGTGATCCCTTTTGTAATTTCTGTCTGACCATCACTGATGTCTTTGTAGTCCTTTTCCTTTCTACTGTGGATCAGCAGTAGATACCCTCAAGGTCACTGAAAACATCTACAAAACGGCGAGTGCCATGAAGCTGGCCGACTTCATCTGTACAAGATCTTGGGGATGACAAGCAAAGCTAAGCTAGCAGACAAAGGCTGAATGTGGAAAGAAGGTGGCATTCTTTCAAAGGGTAGTAGATTTCTAGATCTCCTCACTAAGTAATGTTGTGAATACTAAGAGTTCACTTGAGTTCAAGGGGAAACCAGACAAGCACCACTTGGAGAGGATACTTAATGCAAGCTGTTAGATTCACAAATCTTAAAAAGCTCAGGAAATGCTTGGGGGTCAAGGGAAAACTGGGAGAAGCATTTTCCATATCTGCCCTGTCCTGCTTCTCCCCAAACACCATGTGCAGCCACCTGTGAGAGGCAGAACACGAGGCCAAATAGACCCTTATTCTGAGCAGCTACCCTTCTGCTCTTTATGAGGTTTTGTAGCTTTAATAGCAATTCTTTTCTTAAAAGTACAATTCTCTCCTGTTACAACAGCAATAAAGACAAATGCTTGATTTAGTACTACACTTTTATCTTCAGATGCACTAATTAAAGCATAGAGGACTGGAGAAAGCCACCAGTACAGATACAGTCAGTTCTGCACACAGAAACCTCCAACTCAATTATCAAGCTGCTGACAGCTCCACACCCTGTTTTAAAAGTTAGTTCAAAGAAAATGCTTAAAATGTTATTTCGGTGTGGGGAAAACTGTCCAGAGAATCTGACCTTTGCAATAAAATATTTATTCTCAGTAACAGCTTGCTGACTATGAAAAAAAAAGAGTAATTGACCTGCTAAGGGAAGGAAGCACTTAGCACTTTTTAAGTCTTAGGATGACAGAAGTGTAGAAAAAAAAAAGAGAGCTCAGGATTCTGGCAACTTGATATGGACATACTGAAAAAACTGCCATCAGCAGAACCCCAGAAAATGTTAAAGGCTAACGCATCTGATGCACAAGTCATAAAATCAACATGAGATGAAAGCTCAGTAATAACAGAGAAGACTATAAAGCTTCAGAAGACCAAATAACTGTGCCAAAAGCCAAAGCTCCCGGAGAATCTACTAGCAATCCAACATGAATGACAGTATAAGGTTAACGAAGCAAAACAGCAAATGTGAGAAATGGCAACAGATATTCTGTACATTTAAGGTAAGTCAGAAACAGAAAAATGGGGGGAAAAAAGTAAATCTGTATGAAATAAAGATTTAGCCCTGGAAAATTAGGCCAATAACTAGCAACAACATATACACTGAATGTTAAAAGAAAGTAAGTTGTCAAGATGAAATGTCTGAAATCAAACGTAGCTTTGAGTATCCTTAGTACTGGCTTCTTTTGATTAAATGAATGCAGCTTTTTTCACCTTGGAAAGAAAAGGATCTATCAAAACCAAGGGATTGTAACAGTGCTCACCATATACAGGGTTTGAAACAACACGCAGAAATTTATCTTGAGTTCCTAATCAGCTTGCCAGAGCAGACTGAACTACCTGTGAGCAGGGACTCCATCTCCTGAGTCTCAATACTGTACAGTACCAGAAGTTGAAGTGCTGTTAAGCACTTCTGGAAGACAGACTACAACTGGATGCCTTGACATTCTGCACATTTTTCACATGGCCAGGACTGTGAAAAACCTTTCTTACACTGGCAACACAGAGAATTATTGAATGATGAAATATATTGGTCCAAATGGAATAAATGCAGTTACCCTAAGCTTTTTGAAAAGTTAAGCATGGTTCATTTTAACCATTAAGGTTAATGGAACCAAGCACTAATTTCTACCTCTGTAATGGTATGGCCAGAATGACAGATCTGACCACTGTAGGACTGGGGAAAGACTCATCTGATTCCAAGCAGTTCAGCTTCAACCTTCTTATAATTCAGCTGAACTGCTTGTGCTTTTTGACTTCTCAAGAAAACAGACAGGAAACAAAACAAGGAAGACAAAGAGCTAAAAAGTAAAATAAATTACAGAAGAGAGATTTTTGTTGATAGAAAAAAAGGTTCCTTAAATTCCCCCAGAGTTCTGAGTAAAATACAAAGTCTACCAGTTTGTGCTTTTCACATTGTAAAAAGTAACTGATGGCAAATAAAATCATACTTCAGCAGGTTACCTTTTAGCACCAGAATGGAGAGCCTAAAAGCCTGAAAAACTGTTGCAATGTTCTATTTAGATAGCTGTGCTCCTTCCCATTTGTCTCTGAAAGCAAAAAGAATGCTAATGTACAAGCAGAAGAGTTCACTCTCCCTGTCAATGAAACCGATTGTTTTTCACCCTGACATTCCATTTCAGTGTATGAAAACCATGTGTGGGATAAGGCATCATATAACAGCCATTATTTGCACAGATGGCAGACAAAAGGGTTTTCACTTTTGATCTTGAAAGAAATAAGAACTTGGGTCACAACCGCTGACAATGCAACAAGCCATGAAAGGAATCTTGGGAAAGTTTTTAATCTTCCATTAAAATCTAGTTTACATACGTTTAAGGTAAACAATGAAATTTTTCCTAGAAAAAAATGCATGTCTTTAATATGAAGAACTAAAATTATCTATTTATTTAAATTCTTATGTTCCACAGATACACTTAGAGATGTCCTATATAATTCTATTTTATTAGTAAGGCTCTTTTGAGAAAACAAAACCCACAAACCCCTTACCTCTGGACAACCTGATTCCAGCTCAGAAGAGACATTATTAAATTCCCCTGCTTTTTTGCAAATGTAGAAGGATTTGTCTTCACATTTTTTAACCTTCCAATGTCCCTCCTACAGGATAAACAGAAGTATAGTCTGTACATACTCATATTTTCATGTATATCTACACAAAGATTACACTACCACCTGCTATTTTACCTTTTCACTAAAAGCAAGTAATTTTTCTCACTCAATTTATTTATCCTTAAATGGAGCATTTACTTCTACCAACACTGTCAGCAGGACTTTTCAAATCAATGATACAAAAGGGTTTGCGTCTTTGAATCACTCCTTGGGATGTAATGTATTTTAATTAACCCTATGGCCATGCCAGAGCATTTACTCTTCAAAATAGAGAGGAACTTTCTTCCTATCTGTTCTTTGTAAGATCAGTCTTTGTATTTGACCAGTCCTTACTCAAGATAATATAAAGATTATATGATATAATTTTCAGACACCTATATACATACTGGACATGTACCAAAAATAATGCTTGAAGAATTTTATCCTGAACTTCCTTTTTCTTTATACTTTACATTTTTATTGTTTGTTTACACTCGCAACTGAATAAAATATGGGTTTGGGTATCTAAAAATAATATTACCAAAGTCCTATTTTCTGCTTTTAATGGTAATCCACTTTTCCAGGTCATTCTAATTGTCTTGACTTTCCCAGGAGCTAAATATTGCAACCTGCACCACTACTGGAGAGACAACAGAAGTTCTTTTTGATAGAGTTTTTACACTTAAAGAAAACATACTTTACAAAAAAAGAAAAAAGTATTATAGTGCTGCTTATGTAAGTCATGGATTAGTGAATTTTAGTACCATTAATTGTAAAAGTAAAGTAAATATATGACCAAATTACAAAAAAATGACAGTGCCATGAATACCGATAAGACAGGACATGGTGTTATTTGAATATTACTCCCAGTTATATGACACCTGAGTAATTTGGAATCAATCTTACTGCATAATTTTATGTAGATCTAGACTACTATCAGTTTTTGAAGGATGCTAATATAAATTTAATAAATGTTGACAGCAAGATAAAACAGGCACAGCTGACAGTTTTACAAAACATGGTTTTGAAGCTTTCAAGACCAGAACTGATGCATCATAAATTATGCTATACACTACCTGGATTTTAAATTACTTTGTCCTTATCAAAATACCTATTCACATTTGTTCTCTTCCATTTGGCAAGCTTTATGTATGTAAATTTTTTATTGAACAAAAGCTCAAAATCTATGATAAATTTTCTCTGCACCAGTACTGCAAAATATGTTGGATTCTAAAGGCTACATTGTATTTATCACATCATAAATATATTAGGAATCAAAAATCAGTCATACTACAGGTCATGGCTTAAAACAGTACACACAGTGAGAAAATATTATGAGCTAAACCAAAAATGTCTAATTCTTCCAAAAAGAAAAGGAAACTTACAGATCCTTGTGCTGAAACACAGAGTTGTCCTGTTCTTTGAAAGGTGTTAGGTTCTTGGCTGTGCCAGTTAGACAGTGTTACTGGGGTGCTATCTGACCACTTAAAAACAACAGGGGTGGTATTACTGTATAACCCAATCCATGTTTCAGTTACATTTTCTGTAAAAGAATGAGTTCAGATTTTAATGGTGAAGAAATAAATGCCTGTTGTTCCTGCAACATCAACACCACCATTAAAAATTTTACATGGGATTTTTTTAAGAATTACCTTCTTTCAGAAAAAAAAAAAAATCTGTATAAACTTTAGGGTAACTAACTCATGAGATAACGTTCTACTGCCCTAGATGGATCTGTTTTAGAAATAGATCAACATATATGATAATATGCTTTGAAAACTTGAAAAATACAAATCAAGAGCATATGACCTTTTCTGAAATGCATGGAGCAGAAAGCCTGACATGGATAGGAAAGATTTCTTCTTATAATCTTCCATGACACGCTGAACTTTAGGGTTTTTGAGCGATCCTTCTAAGTTCCAGTGACAGCACAGCTGTAGCAACAGTGGCTGGCAAACACAGGAAATACAAGGCTTGCAGTCTGATGTAATGCCTTACTTGACCACCTACTACAGCCACAAAAAGTGGGCAGGCTTTCAGGCATGTAAGCCCTTCTCCTGTAGAGAAGCCTGAGGCAAGTCTGAAATAGAAGCAGCAGACTTTGAAGTTGAATACAAGCTGAGGAACAATTACATCTATCCAATACAACATCTCTGGAGATAATAGTTTTTGGTATATATGGGGGGTGTTAATAGAGGCGAGGAAGTTGACACAGTAGTTCACCTCCTAAGAAAAAGACAGACAGGACAGCAAAGAGGATGGGTGGCATGAGAGATAATAATGGATGCCCAGTAAATCAGTGTAACACACCATCCTGCAACCACAGCTGATGGGACAGAGTTAATAAGACATCCCACTGTGCCCCAGCTCTGGGAAGCTTAAACTCATTGCCAAACTGTGCAGCTCTGTCAGCACACTGATGTCAGCTGGAGGCATAAAATATTTTTCTTTGCTGCTGTTACAGAATCATAGAGTCATTTGGGTTGGAAAAGAACTTTAAGGTCAAGTCCAGCTGTTAACGTAACACTGTCAAGTCCATCACTAAGCCATGTCCCTCAGCACCACATCTACACACCTTTTAAATACTTCCAGGGACAGTGACTCAACCACTTCCCTGGGCAACCTGCTCCAGTACTTGATAACCCTTACTGTAAAGAAATTTTCCCTACTACCCAACCCAAACTTCCCCTGGCGCAACTTGAGGCCATTTCCTCTTGTCTTACCACTTGCTACCTGGGAGAAGACACTGACACCCATCACACTACAATCTCCTCTCAGGTAGTTGTGGAGAGCGAGGAGGTCTCCCCTGAGCCTCCTTTTCTCCAGGCTAAACAACGCCAGTTCCCTCAGCTGCTCCTTGTAAGATCCAGGCGTTTATGTTATGACAACAAAAGTCTTGGCATTGCTGCACCGAAAAGCTTTTGTTCATTAAGTTCCTTGTGTAATTATGCTACCTCTTGGGGCAACGTGGACCAGCGGAACTCCTTTGATACACCCTGCTGCCATCAGAGGGGACTCTGCCAACATACCAGCAGCCGTAACTTTACAGCATGGACAAGGCCAGCTTGAAAGTAAAAGATACTCTGGATTGCTATTGCTTCTAAGCACAATTATTGCATAAGGATGATCACTGAATATTTTGCAACAGTTTGCAAGGAACCAGCCAAGAACACGACAAAAGCTACTGTGTTTACTGTGGCCTCACTGTGTTTACTTCATTGATTCATTTATTTGTTTTAAGTATGGTTATTTAAAAAGATGATGCTATACATTTTTAGGACTCCTAGAAAAAGCATACATCATGCTTTCTCCTTTTTGTAAACATCATTTGTGTGTGCCATGTAACATACTGCTTACAGTGGCTAACAATGTTAAAAGGCTGCACAGGAGAGTATCACCAAACACTTCAAGAAGCATTGGATGTTTTAAAACAACTCCCAAAACTCACCACTTTCAAGCAAGTTAAGGAGCAGCTCTGCATCTGCCATGGAGGATATACTAACGAGCCCGCTACTGTCACTTTGGCATGAGTCAAGAGCATCGTTCCAGCTCCGCTCCTCCCGATGGAGTCTGTAGCAGTTGCGGTTGTGCGGGTACCAACCAGCGGCACAACGAGTGGCATAATACTTCCACGTATCTTTTAATTAAACATACAAGGTTCACATATATTAGATAGAATTGCCAAGGTTAGAGTATGTTCATAACACAAAAATATATGTGCAATACTTTTCTGTATATCAAAAGTACAGTAAGCCATAAAAAAAATACAAATTTTGATCTGCATTTATACAACTTTCTTCTCTGTGGGCCACTGGTTAATTCCATTTGAAGCTGAAAACCTACCTTTAAATTGAAGAGGCATGGCTCTACTGTAGCATAAAGAGAATGAGCATTCTGTAAGCCTCTGATCATGCAAGGAACCAACTGAATGCTGGACATATTAAAATTATTTGTTAGTTTTAAGACTCTCAACATTTTCCAGGAGTGTATTTAAATAGAAGAAAGTGATATTACATCAGTTAGAATAAACTGTATTCAGCTTAAACCAGCAAATCCATACATTTAATCTAGCTAAGACTCTGTTCTGCTGACTTCATATTTAGGTGGCTTCCTCCTGTTCTCCTTCTACACCCACAAACAGAATAGAGTAACACTGAGAGACTTACCCAATGTTTCATATGTCTTATTTAAATATTTTTTGCACACAAAAGGCAATCCAGATTCACATAAAGAACTTTGCCAGCCATAGTTCAATTTTGAATTAATCACTGCACAATGATTTTCTCTAAAACGGTCATCAGAGACATCTGCAAATACATTTTGGAGAAGCACATAATTACAAAAAATCTATTCTTACTCACAAAATGGTGTTGTAAGGTTTTCTGCATCTTAGTGAATTAAAATATAGACATTCTTGCATACCTGAACTTCTAGTAATACCACACCAATACTATGAACTGTGATTTATACATGTGTGACAATCCATCCCTGGCTACTGCTATCAGATGAGTGGATGAAATAAGCTCTAGTGCTATATCAGTTGATGGATAGGCCTTAAAATGTAGTAAATCAAGTCACAAAATTCATGTTAATGTGCTGATATTAATTACAGTACAATGTAAACAAATTGAAATTCCATTCCTTTGTGAAAACAGCTTCTAAACATGCAACTTGAATCTTAAAAACACTGTTAAAAGTAAATGACAAAAGGACAACATCGTTAATGACTTGAACAGATTCATCTCAATGCTAGATCCCTAGAAGGAGCTTTTAGTTTAGCAAATATTTCTACAAATAAAAAGGTGTTTATTTGATTCACTTTTCAAATGTAGTGGTAGGGACAGCACACTTGTATCAGTTGGCAGTTATGGAGAGCATATAATTACACTGCTATAACATATCCAAGAGGAACATCAAGTACCTGCTACCCAGTTCACAAAAACCAGTGGTGCTCCATCTGACCACTGCCAGCCAGTGTCTGGCTCCAGGCGACTGAGGCCCATCCACAGCATCATGTCTGTGGTGTTTAACTGTCCTGGAATAGAAAATATAAACAAAGTAACACTTCACACTTTCCCCATGTTTTAAAATATCCACAGGTATAGACCTGCTGTCCTTACGTTACAATCAGAATAAAACAAACCTTCAAATCAGTCTCCAGGAAGTTTAATCTGTTTTTTCTTTCCTTAGAAAAAGTCTATTGCTTTGTTAATCAACAAGGAGATGAAAGAGAATAAACTCAGTAGTCTGCATCCTTCAAAAGCTACTTACCCTGCAATACCCTCCCTGCAGAAGTTGTTGCTGACATTAGAAGTTAAATCTAGAAGAAGTAGCTATGTAAATGCTAGCCTGTTTCAGCTTTCTCTAAACCAAACAATTTTCAGTCCCTTTACAGCCTGCAGATACATCCAATAGCTAATGAAATAATATTTAAGACCTCCTGTTCACTTACAGCCTGCAATTGAAAATCAGCAATATTAGGAAGCAATGGGCAGGAAACCTGTGGTGTCCTTCCACATCACAGCTCTACCACCCATTCCTCTGCTTGGTCCATCTCCATGCAAGCTCAAATACACACAAAAAACATGCTGTCAGAAGGCTCTGCAAAATTTGTCTGAGATACTTGCTGCACAGAGAAAGCAAGAGGCTTATCAGACAAGGAATACCGTCCTGTCATGAAAAGAGAGTTGGCATTTTTCCCATACAGGACCTTTACTTCAAGTCTGCAGAAATGTTCTTGTCATTCACATTTGGCGAAGTCCAGCTTGCAAAGAAAAATTAACAGTAGAAAGGGATACATTGCAGAGAAGGTAAATACTTGTATAATTCTCCAAAGAAAACAAACATGCTCAGTAACCAAAGCTGTAAAAATGAACACAGGAGTCTCTGTAGGGAGGGAGAATTAAGACCTCACACGACATCACATCTGCACTCAGGTTATTAAGGTGGTAACTTACCTTCATCCTTGCTTTTGCAAACAGGTCTACTGAGGTGTGTTTTGTGACAAGCCTCGAAAGCAGCAACAGCGTAGCCATCAGAGAGAGTATTAAGCTCCAAAGCTTACCCTTTTTTCATGGGTAAAGAGGAAATCTAACTTTAGGCTTCCTATGAGGTCCCTAAAGAAATGTCTACTCACTGCTTAAGTTACTTATGTAGCTCTGCTCTTCAGGGTCTGTGACACTCAGCAGGTCTCCTCCCTGCAGCTGACAGGTGGCCCGTGCCTCATGCCAGGTCATCACAGATGCAAGGTTGAACTGGTAGCAAAGGTGGGTGTCAGGGTTCTTCTTCCAAAAAATGTCGCAGCCGCTCTCTGCTCAAAAACAGACTCATCACTAACAGCCCAAGACTACAAACTAATCAAAAATATAATAACTTGAAAAATTTAATTAATTAATGACAGCAGCATCCCAATGGAAGCTTGATTATAAAATTCTTTCCTGTTCCTTTGTTAAAAAACATATGGAAATAAAATGTTGCTTCATATTTCATACAGTTGATAAAATACTCAGGAGCTGATCTGATAGTGATTTACACAGCTCTCCTGAAGCCAATAGAGTTATGTTTTAATTTATACAAGCTTATCATTTGTTCCTAAGGCTAAATGTTGAAATATTCAGACAATGAACACTTCACTCAACTTGTGGAGTAGCAGTCACTGCAGCTCCTTCTGTCTTGCACTCAAGAGAACAAACTTGCTATAATTACAAAGTATAAACAAGTCTGAAAATATCACCTATTATAATGGTTGCCCAGAAATTCCCATTACTTAGACATGTTTACAGCTGCTTCTAAGATGCTTTGGAACAGAGATGTGAAAAACAGCTTGAGCAGGGAGGGCTTTGCAAGCCACTGCTGATAGAAGATACTATTCTGCATATTTATGCAAGAAGCTGGAACATTCATAAAGATTATAGATCCAAATATCTTTCCAATAGCAAGTATTTTTACAGCTATTGCTTCTAAGTGTTTTGGGCCCAGCATGTGTTCAAGGAGTGCAGAGAAGAAAAGGAATGTGCAAGATGTAATGCACTCAAAAGCAGAATATGACCTTGCAAGAGCAATCCTCACTTTACATGATTCAGAGAGGCTCTCTACGTATCACTGGGTCAGAGAAGAGAGAGGTTTAGCTGAGAAGAGAGAGGACAAAGTCAATGGGATGCACAAAATAACCTCCTTTTGCTCACCCCCTGTAGTTTTGGTTTTGGGATGACGACTTGGGTCTCCAAAGGCCAAACATGATAAATTATTATAAAATTTGCTGAAGTCTTATTTTGCATTTTTTAAAGTGACATTCTGCTCTAACAGAAGGGAATGAATCCAAAACAGAGTGTGTCCTAGAATTACTAACAAAGAGCAAAGACACTCTTGGGGGATGGGGGAGAGAGAAGACAAGCAACACCTTACCAGCATTTGGGCAAACCCCCCATTTTTCATCTTGTTCATAGTGAGTCGTTGTAGCACACCAGTCAAAGTCCTTTCCATCTCTGGTACACTCATAATACCACTTGTTCTTATATTTAAATGGAAAAATGCATGGGAAACCGAAAGAATTTCCCAGCAATGTGTATGTTTCTGTAACAAACAAAATGCAGACATAAAAAGAACATAGATTACAGAAATTTCTTAGTCCTCATATTTCATTATTCCCGTTTTTAGTAGCAATGATAAAAATAAAATGCATAAAGCCATTTTATAATTTTAATTTATAATTGATAACACAGCATTACAAGTATGAACAGCATAACATCATTGAACAGAATCTGGAAGTAGTAATTTATGAAATTTGTCACCATGAAACAAGGCACATTCTCATAAACCAATAGTTAGCAGAATCAGTAGATGTTCAGATGCTCCTCCCAGACTTTATAAAGTGGATTTCTAACTTTTTTTCCTAATCTCTTTGTCATTCTACAGAAAGCAAATGTGAAAGACAAAGGAATAGTAAATAAACTTTTAAAAATAAGGTTCTATACCATTGGGAATAATAATCTAGGTAAAGAGCTGATTTTGCATACATCTGTTGTCACAGTGAACTAATGCATTATAAAATATTTTCCTATTGCACATGAGTGCCAAAATATTGAGAGGACCCAGTGCAATTGAAAGCTGTAAAAGCTTTACCTCAGTGAGTGCATCTGTAACCTCAGAGCTTCTACAAAAGGTCGAAGACCCACAATCACACTCAGAATTAAATTGTTTGTCAAAGATCCCATGTTGATAGCCTAAAGATCAAAGTCCTTCAGCTGCAGAAACAGTACATACTGCCAGGTTCCTAGAGGTTTCCACAGTGAAAGGCTGGCTGTACACATATAAAAAAGCAGTTTACATATTGTAAATCCCCTTTAAAACCTTTCGGTACAAACAGATGATACAAAGAACATGCATAAAAAAAAATAAATCAGGATTGCTTCTCTGTCTTCCTGCCACCATGCTGCTCACTACAGAGGTGCAAAGGATTACCCATGTCCTAGCAAGAAACCAAAATTGACAGCTATAGACCTTTCATCATAGTTATATACATTCTTATCTTGAAGGTAGAGGTGCCCACCCCCTTTTTTTTTGTGCCAACATGATTACTTTGGTCCTGAAATTAAGCTAGAAATGCCTGCCTAAAGCTGATCCTCTTCTCCAAGATGTTGCAGTATTAGGGCTAAACCAGGTCTACTTTCATCTCACTGTGTACATAGCACATGTGTAAGAGTTTTTGTGGGTTTAAATATTTTCTGTCTGGTCTTAAGTATAAGCTCCACTAGGTTTTAAAGAAGAGATTGGATGTTATGGTGCTTTCCCAGTTATCACAGCTCCCAAACAAAGGACTTTGGAGAGCAGAGGCCAAGCCCAGCCACACCTACAGAGGAAACCACTGAGACCAGATCTGCACAAGACAAACACCCAGTTCAACCGAGGAGAACCAGGAGCTCCAGAATGAGACACTGTGCAAACATTAGGTCTTTCCTTCCACAGAAATGCTGAGGAAGGAGTCAAGGTACAGTCTGTCTGTTGCTCTTTGTAGTCAATGGGTTTATCTTAGTCCTTATACTCAGAAAACTGTTCAGGTCTGCAGACCTGGATCTTGACATACATTCCTATGCCTCCTCTAGCTGTACAGCAGGATTAATCAAAAGCCTGATCTTTGCTCCAAAGTTTGGCACGTTCAGAGTCCAGGTGCTGAACACTGCAAACATTCAGTTCATTCACACTGTGATCACAGATGGATCTTTAGTGATGGGAATTCCAAATCCTTTGTTATCTTTCTCTGGGTTTATCTGATAATGAAAGCTGCAGGACAAGCAACAGCAAATCCTCAGTTCCCCTTTTTATTTCATAGAAGATTTGTAATTAGTATTCCTTGGTTTCCAAGCATACTGGTGCTTTTTTGGGCCCATGTAACACATAAGGGAAAAAAAAAACCATGTGGTAAACTCACCTCAACCATTGCATATAAAAACCTAGACTTTGAGTCCCAAACCACAAGAGAGGCTGGGAGGGATTGCAATCACCTGACCTTGCTTCAGAAGAACTTTTGAAAACTTTTCCCATCTACATTTCTATGACAAAATTTTATGTTTACCTTGAAATGGGTGTTCACAAAGATCTCCATCATATGACATGTACTGTTTCCACTGATAAGCAGAATCTTTTTTGGCCACAATATGTTTGCTGTTTTCAATGGCTAATTTGTACTCTGATACACCAACTAAGGCTTTTCCATCACAGTTCCACCATAACGAGTATTGAGTTGAATCACATTCAAGCATACTTAATGGCTGGTCTGGTCTACTGATGTTCAGTCCTAGACAGGTACTTCTGCCTATGTTGAAAAGACGGCGATTGGACACCCACTTCCATAGCATGTCTTTTGAGAGCTGACTGCAGTTTTCCAGAAAAAGGCCAACTGTGTCCACTTTAATGCACAAGTTGGAGTCTTCATTTTGGATAATAAATACCCCTTTATCTGTAGGGGGGACAAAAAAGTTTCAGTCTGTAGAATACTGCAATTGATCAAATAGTATCAAAACACAAATGTTTTAGCTGGAGCTATTTAGGAAGATAACTGAATATCCATCACAGTAACTGGCACTTCAAAAAACAAGAGTGCTGGTGCCAGCTGAGTTTTTAACATGTAGACTACTTGCAAAGATCACAAAAATAAGGCTAGGTAATATTTCTCAAGTTGGATAGCTGAAAAAAAATGAGGTGCCCCAAGACATTAGTCATGTTCAAAGAAAAAAACCCACACTGGTCACCAAGAAACATCTAGTAATGGAGTACAGGTATAAATGCTATAAGAAGTCATACTATATACTGTAAAATAATTATTGGGAGGAACATTGGAAAGTGCAATTAAAGTAAAAGCTAAAAAGTTTGTCTGACATTGACATATTCTCTGCCATATTCATATTGATTCTTCACCCTCTGCCACTACAGAGGCAGAAAGAAAGTAGTTTGCATTGTAAACAGGATACAGAAAGGGTAGGATTTATCTGCACCATGAGAGCTGGTGGCCAAGTGTTACAGTACCCCTTCCCTAATGGACATATATTGTTCAGCCATAAATGACTATCCTGGACCATGGCAGATGTTGCAGGGTTAGCCTGACATCCCACCTTTCTTGGAATCGCACAGAAATTCACTGAACTGTGTGACATCACATTGTAAGTATGTGAAAAAAAAAGTCAGCTGTTTAACATCTTGGGAGCACATGTTTAACAGAGCATACAGACTGAATAAAAAAAATGAGGGCAGCTGAGGAACTGAAAAATATAAACCTGTAACAGCTCAGCTATTTCATTCACTCTGAAATGCAGTGATAATTAACCCGTGGAGCTCCTCTAACATTACAGGCAAGACATTTATTCTGTGCCTTGTGAGATTTTGTATTGAAAACCTGAGCAGCACTTCTATTTTGCCTTGATATTTCACAGTGATGGTTTCTGCCACAGGTGCTTTCTAGCTGCTGTAGACCTAATGTCCTGAAGCAGTAACTGTAATGAAAAAAATCCTCTGAAACTGACATAGCCCACATCTAAAGCATGAGATGTAGAAGTCCATGAAGATGCTCTTCCAGGGCTTAGTACACACAGGTTAGGTGTTGCTCTAAAAAAAAGAAAGATTTTTCAAGCAGCAGTGGGACAGTGCTGTATAACAGACAGACTGGACATCAGCTCCCCAATATAATGTGCACATCACAAGCACAACAGAGAAGATAAAGATTATGGAGAGGTTTCTGGTTACAGATTCTGCACAGAGCATATCAAGTTGTCTTAGAGGACAGAGGCATATTGCAGACTGTAGCACTGGTAACATGGGCTGTTTTTCCACACAGCTATAGGCACTGGTAGCTTGTGATGGCATAGAAGTAAGCTTTTCTGACTGGCAACAGACAAGAATTAGCCTGATATATGTAATTGTATCTCCCAAGCACCTAGCAGCTGTCCTATGTCAAGATGCTAGCTGTTTTGGGGTTGAGCAAGTTTCCTTAAATGCATCTTATCTCTACAGCTCTCAGATGTCTGAGCTCACTGAAAAACCATCAGACAACACTGTAACAGACACCCAGCTTGGCCCTTTGCTTTTGAGTTTTCTGTGAAGTTGTGCAGTTTGGTTTCATCCTTCTTATCCAACCCAACCATCCATGTGACAGAGGCACACATCCGCCTCCATGGCCAGAAGGGGCTTCTGTATCTCATGCTAGGGTATGTCTTTCCCACAGCAGTCTTATCTTGGTTGACCATGAAAGTACACTGTTACTTTGCTAGATAAAGAGAAGCTGGGATGTTGTTAGCACCCATAATACCAATTAATGAGGTTAATTCATGATGTTACTGGGACTCACACTTACTTAAACTTTTTATGCAATGTTCCAATCTACCTCCACCTCAACAGCACACAGCAGGTCCCACGCAGAAGCTTCCTGGGGGAGGGGGGAGCAACAACACAACCCAAAGACTCTCAACCTTTGAACACCTTTATCTGTAGGGCTCTTACAAGTTGCAATGACTGCTAAGAAAAGATAAGGGTCTTCCACAGTCTACACAAATAACCCAGCTGGATGATCTCTGTCAATAACAGCATGCTTCCTTTCCATTCTGCAGCAACTTATGTCAAGAATGGCCAGACTGTAATTCTTGAGCCACACAGTCCTCTTCTTAATGTGGTTTCCATTCCCCAACTACAAAATGCAACCGCAAGAAAGTTATGCTGGCCCGAGGACTGCCAGGTAGCTGCCAGCTCAAGGCAGAGGTAAGACACAAAAGATGACAGGCTCTGTGACAGCTCTGTGTGTCCTAGTTCAGCCCTCTCCTCAAGTGAGGCAGGGATGACTGGAGCAACAACATGCCTTGGGAATGCCTCTGGAGCTCCCCTCTTTTCAGCTTGCCAAGCTATATACCATTCATTTCACAGCTGCTCTCACACAAGGTTTCCTTATGAAGCTCCTGGGGTCAGGGAGGATTCTGTGCCCAAAATCCTGCAGATGAAGAGCTGCAAGGTGCTCTATAGACTTACAAGTCCCAGAGTACCCAAGCAGAAAAGGAGACAGCCTATGCTTTAAGAACTGACAGGGTGGAGGGAGGCCTTTGGAAATATCTTGCTCCTCCTACACCCAGGTTTCTCCATACAAAAAAAAAAAAAAAACAAACAAGAAACAAACTCCCAGAAATGAAGCCTCAAGGTGACGTGAAGCCACAGATGAAGAGCTGACCAGTACCTCCAAGTTCCTGTTTACTTCGGTTCAACACAGCTAACAGAGAATAAATGGCTGTAACAAAGTTAGGAGAACAAGCAATCTCCACTTCCTTCCTGCTTGCCTCCTGCTTCCTTCTCTGCCAAAGGACTGTGAGAATTGCTTATGTGGTAACAGAGAAATTAACTATTATTTATGGAAAATGAGAATAAAATCGCCTATATTGCCTCCAAGTACAAGAAATAAAATGGGCAGCAGAACAGTAAGCAGAGAGGATGAGAAGGGGGCACAGCACAGGCAGGTTCGCAAGGTTTCGGTGCCTGCCCTCGACCCCTCAGGCCTCCAAAACCCCTCACTCTAGTGCGGGAGGAGATCTGCACCTCGCTCAAACCCTCCCGCCCGGAGTCGGGCCGACTCGCCCTGCCCTGACAGCGTTCCGA